TCTCTATCCTTCTGAGTAATAGAAATAAACTTGTTTTAACTTTCTATATACTCTTAATCTCGCGCAGAGAAAGTCTTTCTCCACCTTGCACCCATGAGCATCTACTAGCCTTTCCCATCTAACACTTGGTACATGTTGTTCCCTCCTACGCAGAACATGTGCCTTGCTCTGCGCTTTACCTCCGTTTCAAGTTTATCACAGCTGGGGTAGATAGTCATACTTTCTGGGCAAGAAGGCTTCCGCTTGTTCACTACCATCAGGTAACAATCTCGCCCCCTCATCCCCTCCTTTTTCCCATGGGCTCCCACAAACTACATGTCTCTTGGACACTTTTCCCTTTATTTTTAATTTCTTGTTTAATTCTGACTTCTGGGCTCTAATCCGTAGACTTTGTGGAGCAAGAACGTTCTTGCTTTACCAGTTGGTATTCCTTTGCACCTAGCAGAGCACCTGGCATGACTCCAGGGTATCAATAAATTTATTCAGATCTAATGGACCACCAGAGAAGATTTTCAGAGAAGAGAAATAAAAAATAACATTTATGCTGGTTTTGAAATTCTGGAGACCCATCATTATCTTTTTCCTCCTGGGCAGATCCCATTCAGTTCAGGAGAAGATGGCGGATCTTTCTGTATCCTAAAGCTCCCCTAGAAAGGGAGAACCATAGCTTGTTGCATAGCTTTGGGCCTCAATATATCAGGGCCAAGCCTGAAAATTGACACATAGTCTAGGCGCACGGTGAAGCAGCAAGTCCTGCCAATGCTGGGGGGGACACCGGCCAGAGGAGCGGGAAAGGCTATTTTCTCTCTGAAGACCCACCATCCCTTCATTCCAAAACACTGACAGAGGCCCACTCTGCACCAGGCGCCTATAAGGAGGATAGTGCTCAACATAGCACCACCATCAGCTGGAAGAAGCCAAACGTCTATAAAAATGGATTTTAAGAAGTTTACTGAGCCAATTTGAGCAACCATGCCCCGTCGGCGCAAGCCCTAGAAGCTTGAGCAAGTGACCTCTATGGGTTTGGAATACAATTTGGTGTTTATATAATTTCAGGGAGACACGGAGTATCAGGTAAATCATAACATCAGTAATTGGAAGGCCATACATAATCTGGACCCAAGGCAGGGCCATCTCTAGGGGTGAGGGGGCTGTACAGGTTATAGGTGGGTTTAAAAGACTCCTTAGACCTTGTAAGTAATGGTTAAAGAAATGAGCCTTTGTCTAAAGGTTTTAATGTTTTAAGATAAGCGAACTGAGTTATCACTCAGAACAAGGTACTGGGAGCTGTATTTTTGTATAAATTGAGACCTCAGGTTTTCTTTTCATAGGTCTTAGGCCTATTAATGGGTTACCAAGGATAATCTCCAAGAAGGAGGGGGCATGATGAGGCGTGTCTGATCTCCCCCTTGCTCATGGCTGGCACTATTTAGGGTATCCCCTATGGCCAAGAGACTTCCATTCAGTCAGCCTCTGCTGGGGGGGCCTTAAGATGTGAGCTTTAGTTCACCAGCCATAGATCTTACGTGATCTGCCCTGGAGGGAGCTTGCACAGCCTTCCGGCGTGGAGCAGGGAGAGATGAAGTTCTTATATGAAAGCAGATACTGTAATTCCTGTATCTTGTGTTACCAAAATTTACATTTCATGTGAATGCAAAACATAGCCTCCACGATGGAACATAGACCATTAAGCATGCTAGCACCCATAAGAGAAGATACTCAGCTCCTGTGAATAGAAAACAAAAGAGAGTCCCAGGGAAAC